CAGTGCTGGAGTTCCAGCGCTGAGAAATCATAGTTTATTGTAGTAAGTATAGCTAGGGTAATAAGGGGGTGGATTTACAAAAAGCAAATAGACTGTGCACTTTGCAATGCAGTTGCACACATTTTCCTCAAAGTTTAGTAAATGTAGTAAAGCTCTGTTGATTTCCATAAAATAATCATGTGCAAGATAAATACAGTTTTTTTTTCTTTTCCTTGTACCTGACTTGGTATTCTTTACAAAGTGAAGCTGAAGCACATCTACACGTACTAAGGAAAAATGAGTGCAAAGTGCAAAATTATTTGCCTTTAGTAAAAACAACCCAATATGTCTATATATATATATATATATATATATATATATATATATATATATATATATATATATACAGTTGCAAGAAAAAGTATGTGAACCCCTTGGGATTACGTGGAGTTTTGCATGAATTGGGCATAAAATGTGCTCTGAACGTCATCTAAGTCACAACAATAGAAGAAAACAGTCTGCTGAACATAATACTACACAAACATTAGATGTTGCCATGGTTTAATTGCACATAACATGTAAACATTCACAGTGCAGGGAGGAAAAAGTATGTGAAGCCCTAGCTTAATGACTTCTCCCAGAGCTAATTGGAGCCAGGAGTGAGCCAACCTTGACTCCAATCAGTGTGATGATATTGAATGTGTTGCTGACAGCTGTCCTGCCCTTAAAAAATACACACCTGTTTTGGGTTTACTGGTTTCAAGAAGCACTGTCTGATGTGAACCATGCCTCGCAGAAAAGAGCTCTCAGAAGACCTACGATCAAGAATTGTTGACTTGCATGAAGCTGGAAAGGGTTACAAAAGTATCTTCAAAAGCCTTGATGTTCATGTGTCCACGGTAAGACAGACTGTCTATAAATGGAGAAAGTTTAGCATTGTTGCTACTCTCCCTAGGCGTGGTCATCCTGTAAAAATGACTGCAAGAGCACAGCGCAGAATGCTGCATGAGGTAAAGAAGAATCCCAGAGTGTCAGCTAAAGACCTACAGAAATCTCTGGCACATGCTAACATTTTTGTTGACACATCTACAATAAGGAAAACATTAAACAAGAATGGAGTACATGGGAGGACACCACGGAGGAAGCCATTGCTGTCCAAAAAGAATATTGCAGCACGTTTGAAGTTTGCAAAAGAGCACTTGGATGTTCCACAGCACTACTGGCAAAATATACTGTGGACAGATGAAACCAAGATTGAGTTGTTTGGGAAGAACACACAACACTATGTGTGGAGAAAAAAAGGCACAGCACACCAACATCAAAACCTCATCCCCACTGTAAAACATGGCGGAGGGAGCATCATGGTTTGGGGCTGCTTTGCTGCCTCAGGGCCTGGACGGATTGTTGTCATTGATGGGAAAATGAATTCCAGAGTTTATCAAGACATTTTGCAGGAAAACGTGCGACCATCTGTCCGCCAACTGAAGCTCCGCAGAGGATGGGTGATGCAACAGGACAATGACCCAAAGCATACAAGTAATTCAACAAAACAATGGCTGCAACAGCACAGAATATGCCTTCTGGAGTGGCCCTGTCAGAGTCCTGACCTCAACCCGATTGAAATGCTGTGGCATGACCTTAAGAGAGCGATTCACACCAGACATCCCAAGAATATTCTACACTGAAACAGTTTTGTGAAGAGGAGTGGTCCAAAATTACTCCAGATCGTTGTGCAGGTCTGATCTGCAACTACAGGAAACGTTTGGTTGAGGTTATTGCTGCCAAAGGAGGGTCAATCAGTTATTAAGTCCAAAGGTTCACATACTTTTTCCTCCCGGCACTGTGAATGTTTACATGTTATGTGCAATTAAACCATGGCAACATCTAATGTTTGTGTAGTATTATGTTCAGCAGACTGTCTTCTTCCATTGTTGTGACTTAGATGACGTTCAGAGCACATTTTATGCCCAATTCATGCAAAACTCACACGTAATCCCAAGGGGTTCACATACTTTTTCTTGCAACTGTATATAGATGTAGATAGATAGATAGATAGATAGATAGATAGATAGATAGATATACTGTACATTTAATGTTTTTGTATTTGTTACATTATCAGTGCTACTTTCCTATGGATAAACGTAGATGCACCCACTATTTTTTTTCTTTTCTTTGTTTTTATTTTTGCTTGGATAAATAATAAAATAAATATTAAATAATTTAATATGAGGGGCATGTACAGCTGGATCCATGTATGGATGCTCCTTAACAGAGCTCCAGCTATAACAGCGGCACCACCGCTACTTGCAGGATACCGACAGCCTACACTAAAGGGCACACTCCCCTGACCACTCTGGTGCTATGCCCCGGCCAGCTGCAAAAGTTGATAGATTTCTACCCGGCCCAGGACTCCAGAAGCCAAGATGGTGCCGGCGGCCTGCAGAGCGACCCCTCCGCTCCTAAGGAGGAACGATCTACATACACACCTGATCCTAGGGTCATAGTGCCTCTCTATGATGGGGATCTGGGTGAGTTCTCTCCTCCTCTGTCTCCCACCACAAGCAGCCATGCTAAATCGCAGCCTAGGATAGAAGAACCCACATACACAGCAATGCACATGCCTGCTCTCTCCCATGCTCCTGTCTCACAGTTACAGTCAGCTATAGAAGCGTTCCCGGCCTCTGACCAGCCAGTATCCAAATTAACCATGAAAAATATGCTTCTTTCTTTAAGACAAACTCTGCATAATAACATAGCAGCTGTAATAGCTCCGATTTCTAACACTGTACATGAGTATGCTCAATGGCTGAACCATATTGAAACCAAAATGACCGAAATGTTCTCACCCTATAATGACATGGTAGACGCTCATATGGATCATGATACTGAGCTACAATAATTAAAACTCAAAATAGCTGACTTAGAAGACCGCTCTAGAAGGAATAACATTAAATTCCATGGCATTCCGGAGTCGGTCGACCCTGATACCTTGCTGCCTTACCTACAACAACTGATGAAACATCTCATCCCAACACTCAATGATATAAAAACAGCAATTGACAGAGCTCACAGAATTCCAAAACTGTCTTTTACCCATGTCAGTCCCTACAGGCGTACTGGTGTGAATACACTTTTACCATATCAAAGAGAAGCTTATGGCTGCAGCGAGGAACCCGACAGCACTCCCTGCATCACACGCAGGGGTTAAAATATATGCTGACCTGTCTAAAGAGATATTACTTAACAGAAAAAAGCTGATTTCTGTTACTAAAGCCCTACACAATAATGGAATAGGATATCAGTGTCTTTCCCCACTAAACTCACAATCAAACGGCAGGGCAAGTCTTTCACAATTAGAAGTCTGGAAAGAGGCATTGACCTACTCAAAGAATGGAATATCTTACCTGTAGATAAACATCAGCACACTCTAAACCAACCTCACTACATAGAAGGGGACTGGACCTGACATCCTTATGCTAATCCTGATAAAAAATCCTGCTAATGCTTGTAGCTGGAATGCCTCGGCCTAAACCACCAAATTCTAAGAATAAAAAGTGCACACCACCATGACAACCTGCTATTGCCATGGTTACTAAACTGCCCCCACTTAACAGTAGCTGTTTATGCTACCCATATTTCTTGTATTTTTAACAAGATTTTTTAATATTTTCTTTGTTCTCATGTTTTACGTTGGTACTACCAGTCTCACATACTCCTAGATTTTCTACGATAGTTCTGGCAAACTATACCACGAAATTCACTCACGCGTGACCTTGCCATACCTCCCTCAACTTTCTACCTCCGCCTTGGATTAATACCATCATCAGTACTGAAACACCTCTCAAGCATAATGTGACACCTCTAAACACCACTTAAAGTAGACCCTCCAAACCAGTTTATATGCTTCAGCATATACAGCTATGGCACTTAAAATAGTATCGCTCAACTTTTGGGGCCTTAACTCCCCATACCAGAGATCGTCAATCGTCAAAGAAGCTCAATCACTCCAAGCTGATATCATCTTCATCCAGGAAACGCACTACGCTACTACAAAGACTCCTCACCTCACTATAAAGCATTTTCCTACTATATACCTAGCCTCAAACCCCCCAAAAAAAGTTATGATGACTATAAAAGATACGGTGAACTTTCATTTAACCTGAGAATTTGCAGATCCCCAGGGCCACTTCCACATCCTGGTCTGCGTCATTAACAATATTCAATACACCCCAGTCAATGTATATAGACCAAACTCCAACCAAATCCAATTTTGCAATATATATGAATAAATTAAAGAGTGCGCTAAATATAAGTAAATACAAAAATTATTAGTTTAAAATAATGATGTCCGTGATAAAAAAATATACAAAAGTCCATCCACCATCACAAAGTAATTAAACAGTTCTGAAATCTTGTATAAATCAAACACCCTGCAAAAAAAATCCACCACCGAATGAAATGGGTACACTCACCAGAGCTCCATGCTGATCAGATTATAAATTAGCAAAGATAGCGTTTGCTCTGGGAGCGATGATCAGCAGAAATAATCCAAACTGGGAGCAATATACTGCAAGCAGCCAATCAGCACAATATGGAATAGCCTTAACAGCAGGTAGTCATCACTTCTCCATACCATAGATCATGTTCGGGGAATCAAAAAAGGAAATCATGGTGCAGTACGTTTAAAACCAAAATGTTTTATTAAAATGCCAGAAATGCACTCACAAACAGGGTGTCTAGCTGACACCAGCAATGACAGCCTCAAGAAAGCAGGGACAAGCCTCGCTCACTGCGATATCACAGCCGACAGTCTACGAGGAGCGTCCCGACGTCACATCCAAAAGAAGCCCCGCCCCGGCAACATATATGCCTTGATTTCGTCACACAAGAATGGCCACTTAATTATAGGAGCAGACTACAATATAGTTGGAAATGTCAACCTGGACTCATCGTCTGGCAAACAACCCTCCAATCACTCTTTAACCTCCCTAACGGTATTCCCGAGTGTAGCTCGGGGTAAAATGTCAGTACCAAAAGTGGTAACCCCGATCTACACTCGGGCTTACCATGCAGCGCTGCATAGGGAGTCCCTGCAGCACTTACCTTGTCCTTCGCTCCCGCGATGTGTCCCCTGCAGCGTCCCCAGCCATCTCCTCCAGCTGATGCCGGCATCCGGCTCCTGTGTTCCGGTCCCTGTGACGTCAGGACGTACGGGCGCCGAAATTTGAAAATTTTTTTAAAAAATGTCATTTTTTTCAAAACGATTTTACATAGTAAAACATTGCTGTTTCAACCCATTTCACATACATTTTGTCCCTAGTGCTCTGTCCTGTCCCCTGCCTGCATTTTGAATGTTCTTTCTGCCTGGAAACTTAGAAAAGTCCATGGCATCCAAAAAGTGTCCCTTTACGTCAAAAGCGGGTTTAGATCAGCTAGAGAATAGCGATAGTAAATCAGAACCACTTGCAGAATTGAGTGATAATGATTCGTGGAGAAATTCGTCATCAGACACTGAAAAAAATTTTGCGACTTTGCTCAGCAATGTGCGAACTTGGATCTATATTTCAAATTTCAGTGTTTTTGGTTTGATTATATTATTGAATTAAATGTAATATTATTATATTATTTTTTTTATGATTATTTATTAAATTATAATTTATGATTTTGTGTTTCAAATTTTATCCTACCTGGGATGTTTAATAGACTCTTGTTCGGACAGATTTCAGTGAGTTATTCCTAAATATTACAGCCTACAATAAAAAAACTACATATTTCCATGCAAAATAATGGTACCGCTTTCAGCACCAAAAATCTGAAATAATCATACCGCTAGGGAGGTTAAATCACTTTTTACACACCAACAACCTCTACGATGTTTGGAGATGCCAGCATGGGGCAGAAAGAGCTTACTCATACTACTTCCCTCCCAACTCTCATACTCCAGGATGGACTTTTTCCTTTCGGATAAATGGACTCTACAGCATATCTCATCATCAAAGATAGGCACAATAACGTGGTCTGATCATGCACCAATAAGCATCACAATTGGCATCCCGAATAAACCCTCCATTCCTCACCCCTGGAGACTAAACTCTACTTTACTAACGGACCATAATTATCAGAAAACCATTATGGAAGCCCACTCCATCTTTTTTTGAAACAAACAACACACCTGATATTTCGATAACTGTATTATGGGCTACTTACAAAGCATATGAGAGGGATTCTTATAAAGATGAACTCTCAGATTACCAGCCAGGGGAGGCGCCAGGCTGAAGAGGTTTTAGCTTCTATCAAAATAAATGAACAAAATAAACTCAGTCCTAATTCTGTCAACTCTTCTTCCTTGTTCGCAGATAGAAATAATCTCCGTTCCCTACTGCTATTTAAATATGACCTCAACTTAAAGAAAATCAAAGCAAAATATTACTCCTTAGGAAACAAGGCAGGATCCCTTATAGCCAGATCAGTTAAACAAAAAAGCCTTAAAACCAAAATAAACTTAGTCCATCATCCCCTTTCAAATTCTCATGTAGCAAATCCCCTAGTCATAGCAAACACCTTTGTTGAATTTTATCAATCTCTTTACAATCTTAAAGATGACAAGGAGACCACTCAGCCGTCCCACCTCCATACAACATTTTTTTACGATCAGTTAATCTCCCTGCTTTATCTCCATCCCAAATCCAAACCATCTCAGAACCATTCTCCTCCACAGAAATTGAATCAGCAATAAAAACTCTTCCACTTAACAAATCTCCAGGGGGAGATGGCTATACCAACGAATACTATAAATATTTTGCTCATATCCTCTGTCCACATCTACCAAACCTCTTCAACTGTACCGCATAGATGTTACAACCTATTATAACAACGATTCCTAAACCAGGCAAGGACCCTCAATGTGTAGAAGACTACAGACCTATATTTCTTATAAATACGAATGTAAAATTATTTGCAAAGTTGTTAGCCCTTAGACTGCTTCCTTTTCTTCCATCCTTGATCCATCCAGATCAAGTAGGGTTCATACCAGGCCATCAGGCCCCAGACACTACTAGACAATTGCTCTCCTTAATTTATAGCGTAGAAGCTCAAAAAAGGCCTTCTCTGCTCCTCTCCCGGATGCAGAGAAGGCATTTGACCGCATACACTGGGCTTTTATGCACTACAAAAATATGGTATTACAGGTTGGATACAAACAGCTATTATGTCTCTATACTCCTCCCCCTAAGCCAGAGTCCTTACTGATGGTGTACTATCCAAACCATTTGATATCACAAATGGTGCCAGGCAAGGTTGCCCCTTATCCCCTTTTGTATTTTCACTACTTATTGAGCCCCTTGCCTCCAGATTTAGAGAGGAATCTCTATTTACTGACATTAAATATCAAGGTACCGAGCACAAAATCTATTCGCAGACTATATCATATTAATGAACAACAAACCTTTCTAATCACTTCCCTTAATTTGTAAGATTCTTAACTCGTACGCAGAAGTTTCCTATTATAAACAAAATGAAAATAACCCTAAACTAAAAACATTCCATCTACTACTACTCTTCCAACCCCAGTGTTCCAATATTTCAACAACCCTAAATATCCAGGCAGGGGGATTTCCCTGTTCTATTCCCACATTATTGATTTAAAATTTAATCTAGGAACAATATCCTTAAGAAACTGGGAATTTATATTCTCCCAAACAATTTCAAACCAAACCTGGCGCAAAGCCTTCATTCTTACATAAATCCTCACATTGCGCTACACATTAGAAATCCTACCTAAAACCCCTTCACCAATGGTACTTAACACCTGTCAGATTATCGAAAATGTGTTCCACCTGCACTCCGCACTGCTGTCATCAGTGTGGAGAAATAGGCTCCCTCCTGCACCTACTATGGTCTTGTAAATCATTAAAATCCTTTTGGAACAGTGTTTTTAATGTAATTTCCGAAGTAACAGGAAATTTAATAAGCCCTGCCCCAAAATTAGCACTATTTGATATTGTTCTGGAAAGATTTCCTCCTAAATCGCGTAGTGTCATAATTCATAGATTATATGCAGCCAAAAATAATATTACCAGGTTATGGTGTTTAGCGATCTAAATTTCCGATGTGATATGGAAAAAAGATTTGCCCTCAACAACCATTCTTACACCAAATTTACCTATTCCTCGTCTCTATGGTCACACAATCCAAAATGTACGGTTCGAGTCTGATAGCTCACACATTATGGAGTATACAATGTTACTTTGACTGGTATAATGTTCAATTTAGTTAGTTTCTACAGTTGTTCCTGTCTTTCCTATCCTCCTCTTCTTCTATCCCCATTCCTTCCCCTGTCCTTTCCTCAGGTTCTTAGTTGTACTGGAACTTGAAAGTAATGATTCCCGCATAACATAACTAAAATTTTGTAGACTTTACACCCATTTTATGTTGGAATTGTCAAACAATTTATCAATCATTTATACAACTGTGAACTTGTCATGTTTTCTTGTTACTTCATTTGTAACTGTATTTGTTAAAACTTCAGTAAAAAAGTATTTGAATACAAAAGTAACAAAGATTAACCAGTACAAATGCATGCTCAATTTTTGACTTGAAATTCTAGAGAATTTGCATCAAACTAAAAGCCCCTCTCAGTAAAATGTCCAGCAGACAAAAGGTCCCCAACTAGTTCACCAAAACTGATTGAGTTTTTTATTAGTATAATAAAGTTAAGGCAAAAACTCATAGATTAGAAAAGAAATTAACTAAAACGTGGACATATGAGGCCTAGTTTACAAAAGTTGTATGTTTGCTAAAAAGTGTGCTTTACTGTGAAATGTATGCTCCAATGCCCGACCTCACATCAGCTAAGTGGTAGTGTTCCTAAAACGATATACGCCTGGGTGTTATACTTTGTGAAGTGCTTTTCAAAATTATTTCCTCAGACATCATTTAATTTTCTTTTTGTGGGATAGAGAGGAAATTTTTTTTTTCAAAGTGAAAGTCTACTGCAACAGTCATGATTGTTCTTGATCGTTCTTATGCTTGTTATATTGAAGAGGAAGAAGATGTGGAGATTGAATCACTCTAAACATTTGGTTTTGGATTCATCCGTTGTTTACTCAACATTAAACAAAAGGGCAGTTTTGAACTTTATACAAGAATTTGAGAGGTCATTTGGACAAATTACTCTCCCATACATGCATGTCCATTATGCCACTTTAATTATATTATAATTCCAGTTCAATACCAATCCTGAAATAACCGTGAGCAGATGAAATAATTTAGCAGAAACTTGCTTTACACGTTTGGCTAATTCAAGTTAACGTACTGTATTATGTATACCTAAGAGCAGAAAATGAATATACTGTGCTTACCAAATCTTAGGTGTTTTTGCTTCCTTATTTTGTTTTTTTATGCTATTGTGACCTCTATTTTCACAAACAGTGACATTTAATGCATGCTCAAGACACAAAAAAGCCATAGAATGTGGTGGCATGACCTCTTTGCTGTCACATATATGCTTATAGCTGTTAGGAAGGGGTAAACCACCTCCACTGCAATTTTGTAGGTAATGCTATAAAAAGAATACTTATAAATCATATTTCTTGCTTTCAACTTTCTAGAAAAGATGAGACCAGATTTTGCTTACCAGAATTACAGACCATTTTAATTGTGCTTAATTTTTTTTCTTTTTTTTTAGATTAAAAATGACTTGTCCTGAGCTTTATCCTATGGCCATATTGCTGCTCTGTCCAATGCTATCTTTATATTTATTTACACCAGATATTTATTTACACCAGATCTTGCTTACCAGAATTACAGACCATTTTAATTGTGTTTAATTTTTTTCTTTTTTTTTTAGATTAAAAATGACTTGTCCTGAGGTTTATCCTATGGCCATATTGCTGCTCTGTCCAATGCTATCTTTATATTTATTTACACCAGATATTACAGTTATTTCAATGTTCGTGCCCACTAAACCTCCCCTTTCCCTTTCATAGAACAGCATGTAACTTCATTCTGTGAATGACCAAGGGGAGAGAAGGGCATACAAATGAAACAATTCCTTTCATGTATGCAGGCTGCAGATCATATATGCAACCTGTGTGAGTACAGAGCCATACCATCCTTTGTAAATAAAAGTAAAGATAACAGCAGATAAAACAAAACTAGTGCTAAATGATATGACTGATGAGAGGTATTAAAAATAATACAGAAATCAATGCCAGGTTCTTCTGTAAGGTGATTGCAGCTGTACTTGAAAAAAACACAGTTAAGTACTTTACACGAAAATATTTTTCACCACAAATATCTAATTAGAGCTTTAGGAGTGTTCCCTTTTTCCACTTACAGTATATGGACTTATTAAAGTGAGCAT